AAATACTATTATAAACTAGGTTAGTGGATAATTCAGCAGCAAAAGTTACTCTACAAAAATGATGGGTTCACAATAATTGTATAAAATCTAAACATTTAGAGAAAAAACATTATTTAGTGAGGGAAAAAATAAAAGTAAATAGGTGTAATCTGGTAAAATGTTACACATTGCTCTATGTATTGTATTATAGCCTACATTCTTGAAAAACAAGTAAATATAATTATATATAAATATACGCAATAAATTAAATACATTTCTTTTACATTTATAGCACAGTAATGAGGCAGCAACATATGATAGATAAGACAGAACAAGAAAGGCTTTTAACAATCTTTCATTGTGCAAAAGTATTATAACATGAAAGGCTCCAATACAGAGCGGCACAAAGCGCTTATGCACATCCCGTGCGCAGAATAATGCGCTTGAAGCAACACAGAGTCACAGTGCGCAGCACTCTGCATAAAAAAGTTTAAAGCACAAAGGGAAGAGATATACAGTATGGAGGATGACTGACAGCCGCAGCGGAGAGAAGAGTTTATGTGAACTTGAATTTAACGACTTAAATATTCATCTGTACCTCAAAGGGAACTATGGAACGGCTTCAGAAGACTTGGAATATAGTGCATGAAAACTTGTGTCATTTTGAAAAAAATTCATTTGTATAGAAGCCCATTTCTGCCACATAAGAAAGAAAATTCTTTGGTAAATCATAATGGTGAGATAATTGTCATAATTATGACATTAAATGTCGAACTTTTGTGTTGTCAATATGGCTTTTTATGTCATATTTCTGACTTTTTGTCATAAATCATGCTTTGGTAAATCATAATTTTTTATGAGGCTTCCATAGACATTCTCAATTTGTATGGTAAAAAATATTTCATAAATATTTAAATTAAATATAAATTTTATATAATATCATGGCAGTATTTATTATATTGCATTTTAGTTAGGCTAATTTAAATATTGTATCAAAGTAATGATAGTGTAATGAAAATTTTTGCATTATCATCAAAATAATGGCACCATGCCAAAAAGTAAAATAGAATGTGGAGATAATTTTCACATTTGTGCAGTGTGATTCATTTTAAGTTTGCACAGGAATGACAGTCTGTGTGTGTGTGTGTTAGAATGTGGAGATAATTTTCACATTTGTGCAGTGTGATTCATTTTAAGTTTGCACAGGAATGACAGTCTGTGTGTGTGTGTGTTAGAATGTGGAGATAATTTTCACATTTGTGCAGTGTGATTCATTTTAAGTTTGCACAGGAATGAGAATGTCTGTGTGTGTGTGTGTGTGTGTGTGTGTGTGTGTGTGTGTGTGTGTGTGCGTGTGTGTTTCCTACAGCTGTCACACTAACAGATCCCATCCTAATGCCTGGCATTTCCAGTGCAGCACTGAAATTCCATCCAGCATTCCAACAAATGAGCGTCTCTGATTCCAGCTGATGTGTGTGTGTGTGTGTGTGTGTGTGTGTGTGTGTAAATTCCACAATTCTGTGTGTATTACAGGCTCTTCAGTATGTAAATATAACACAGAATGCTAAAGAGGATGTCATCTCCTCTCTGTGGAGTAGTAGTAGGCTACTGACATCAGTCCATTCATTGAGTTTCCATCTCTCTCTGTCTTCAGGCTTCTTCTGAAAGCAGGTATTGACATCAACAGAACCACTAAAGCTGGCACAGCGCTCCATGAGGCCGCCCTCTATGGGAAGACAGAGGTAGTGCGGCTACTCCTGGATGTAAGTTCATCTGGTTTTTGGAGACAACTCTACTACAGGGGTCGCCAACCTTTCTGACAATAAAGTGGCTTTTTACTAATATGTTTATGTCCTTTTTCCACACTGACTGTGCTTCTGCTAATGAACAGACAGCATTTACCCATCCTAATGTTTGTTTCATATGACGGCAGAATGGGATTGATGTCAATATCCGTAACACTTACAATCAAACAGCCCTGGACATCGTCAACCAGTTCACCGCATGCCACGCCAGCAAAGACATTAAGCAGCTCTTACGAGGTGAGATGCAATCTGACATGTATTTTAAGACTGCACTGACTGTATTTTATCTCCTTCAGCTGTCTTGTGAACTTGTAGTGTGTGTATTTGTGTCTAACAGTGTGTATGTGGAGTGTGTTTGTGTTCATGCTGCATATACACACAGTATATGAGAGTGTGTACATGGTGAAGTTTGTTTGTGTGTGTGTTTGGGAATGACCCTTCTTATGGGAGACAGATTTAAGCTGTCATTTCGTAAGCAGCCGTTTAAACTAAGGATTATATAACCTGCTGCTTTCTCTGGCTAGTTCTGAGTGCATGAAAGAGACAAAAGACATCTCCTGTGTGTGTGTTTGTGTGCAGATGCATACCACAAATCTGTGGGTCCCTCCTATGAAACATAAGACGGGGCCCCACCCACAAGTGCTGATGTCATATGTGAACATTGGTATCAGGATGAAACTGTAACAGTGACAATAATGCTATTTTGGGCAATTTAGCCTCTGTTTAGTACTCTTTACTAATGCTCTTTATAACTGTGGCCTTTAAGAATGCACTCATTTTAACGGTATCATGCGTGATTCCTGCAGGCATGCTTCTTAAAATTTAAACTGTGGTTCACACAAAATCCACCAGGCGATGCATGGGCTTGCTTGGGTTATGTTATGAAGTGTGTTCTGACACAATTTTCACAATGCAACTTGTGGAATTAACTTTACTGAACTTCCACAAAAAACAAATGAACGCTGAAGTCTAGCGTCAAACAAAAAGTCTTTGAAAACTCTCTCTCTCTCTATATCAATGTGACACATGTCCCTGACATTAATGAGTGGGAATGTGCCACTTTTGACATGATCTTCATGCATTCTGTAACATCTGCTGTATTTATTGCCGTTTTGTATGGGTGGATATAAATAAATATTTGAAGTGAATGTTGATATGAGACACTTATTCTGTTTGTGTCGTCTTTGAACTCAGGCAGTAAACAGACAGCTCTTATCACAATGAGCACAGACAGGCCCGTCTGCTTTAACCAGCGCCGCTCTGTGTGTGTATGTGGGCCACCACGCTTCCATAAACCTCTGACAGACTTGGAGAGTTAATTATTGATTCAGTGAGTCTGCTGTGTGTCCGTGTGTCAGCACATTCCTTCCACTGGAATAAAATCACAGAAATGACACGCTGGAGAGGTTCAGATGGCGGGACCTCACTAAACTATTTTTAGGAACATTAAAGGGATAGTTCACCCAAAAATGAAAATTCTGTCATTAATTGCTCACCCTCATGTCGTTCCAAACCCGTAAGACCTCCGTTCATCTTCGGAACACAAATTAAGATATTTTTGATGCATTCTGAGAGCTCTCAGACCCTCCCATAGACAGCAAGGGTACTACCAAGATCAACGTCCAGAAACGTAGCAAGGACATCGGTAAAATAATCCATGTGACATCAGGGGTTCAACCGTAATTTTACGAAGCTACGAGAATACTTTTTGTGCGCAAAAGAAAAAAAGAACTACTTTATTCAACAATTCGTCTCCTTCGGAGAGTATCCACTGAACGCAAACAGCGTATGTTGTTCTATGTCAGCTGCGTCACACGGATACGTTGTTTTACGTTCAAATCAAAGCACAAACAACGTAGAAAACATATCCGCGTGGCGCAGCTGACACAGAATAGCATACGCTGTTTGCGTTCAGTGGATATTCTCCAAAACGGCACCAGGGTGACGCGGAGGAGACGAATTGTTGAATAAAGTTGTTGTTTTTTTTCTTTTGTGCACAAAAAGTATTCTCGTAGCTTCGTAAAATTATGATTGAACCCCTGATGTCACATGGATTATTTTACCGATGTCCTTGCTACATTTCTGGATGTTGATCGCGGTAGTACCCTTGCTGTCTATGGAGGGTCAGAGAGCTCTCAGATTCCATCAAAAATATCTTAATTTGTGTTTCGAAGATGAACGAAGGTCTCACGGGTTTGGAACGACATGAGGGTGAGTAATTAATGACAGAATTTTCATTTTTGGGTGAACTGTCCCTTTAAGCTATTAATATTTTTGCATTTGCATGTTTATAATAATTTTCTCAAACAAATCCTCATAAATAAAAAATATAATGGGGAAAAGTACTTAAAAAATAATTAAGAAAATCAAGCACTATACATTACAGTAATAGTTATATAATTTAATATTATAATTTTGTGTCTACATTTTTTTTTTTTTTTAATGTTTTTTTATGTTTTTGAGCTAAAAATTTTTTTTATGTTTTTGGACAGTTTCATGAGATTTAGCAATGTATTGTAATGCACAGTATATGGTATCTAACTCTCTGAACTGTGAATTTCTGGTGTTTTGATTCAACAGATATCTTTGTGTGTGTTTTCAGAAGCTACAGGAGTTCTTCAGGTCAGAGCTCTGAAAGACTTCTGGAATCTTCACGACCCCACGGCCCTCACCATACGCGCCGGTGACGTCATCACGGTACGACCGCTTACATGACTTCATTAAAGCTCTTCACAGTCAATGTGTGTGTGTTTCTTTTAAGTACTACACCAAACACCTGTGTACCTAGCCAGTCTATTCAGCTAATGTTTCAGAAGCAGTTTCGCTTGAACCGAGGCCAGATTTTTCTCTCTCTTTCTCCTTCCACGAGTTCTTTCTGTTCATCGCCTTGGTTTTTTGAGGGCGCTAAAGATACACTCACAAGTGTTTCTTTGTGAACTCGAACCAAAATACATTTTCACACAGCATTGTTTCAAAGGAAATTGTGGGCAGAGTATAAGTACAGTTTAAGGGTCGTTTACTGGTGGGTTTAGAGATGTATTTCATGAGCTGAATGTTCTCGCTGCTGTTTTGTTGTTGGGCCTGAAGCTATTATATGTGTGTTTGCTTAGGGTGGACGGCTGGGGTTATGTTATCTAACTTTCAAAAGCTTTCAGATCATGCATTGTCTGAATGAAAAACTGTTGGATTAAAATCCAGCGGGTTGGGTTTGCAGCAGTTTTGGGTGAGATCACTGTGACGTTAATGCTGTGTTGTGATTGGCAGGTGATAGAGCAGCATGTGGATGGACGCTGGAAGGGCCACATTCATGACACCCAGAGGGGAACAGACCGAATTGGCTACTTCCCCCCCTCCATAGTTGAGGTCATCAGCCGACGCTCAGGTACAATAATCACCTGAATTTTAGCAGGTTGACCAAATTTTTGAAACTTCACAGGCCATGGTCATTATATGTTTTCGTTTGATGGATTTTATTACAGCCATTAACCCTGCCAATAACATTGTTTCCTTTACTGAATCAGTAACAGGCTGACATATGTAACATAGACTTGTCTATTTCTTCCATCCCGCTACTTCCCATGTAATAAATGTTCATCTCTAACCTCCATCCGCCTGTCACGACACGCCTCTCTGCCCACCCATAGGCAGCAGCTGCTCTCCAGGTCCGCCCTCAGTCCCAGCTTGAATCTGAGCGGGGGCGGGACCCCTCAAACTGACAACTCCTACACTCTTTACACCACTAACCCACACCTGGTCCTCCCACACGCCAACGGTCTGAGCGCCAACCCAGGTATACACACTCGTTCCCCCCTCTAAGGGTGCTTTCTCACCCATTTCTACCTGGTATTAAGATGTTTTCAGTGGTCCAATCAAAAAAGTGACTCGTACTGTTTACACTTGGATTTAAAATGCCTTTCAAATGCATCTCCTGTGAACTCATCTGTTCAGGTATTCTCGAGACACTCTCCTATTTCGTCACACTCTACATCACTTTTGCAGGAGTGCTGAATGCATTTTAGGAATACTATTGACTGAATGATCTTATGTTACTAGTAATTGGGAAAGGAAGCAAATGGAAAGGATAAAGAAAGCAGCTGCTGTGGTCTGTTCATTTTAGTATAATGCAGCAGAGTTTGAATCGTTGTTTTGGTGCATTTTATTACAACAACCCACAATGTTTGGTCAGTAGGCTATTCAAATGCATTCAACCATATGAGCTTCTACACTACAAAAGCAATCAGTTTAAATGCTTTTTTGACTACCTCTGGAAGTGGTCTAATGTGGACAAGCTCAAAACATTTTAGACCCCATTTACACCTGTTAACATTGTCCAGTTGTGATTGGATCGACGAAAAAATCGTAATACCATGTGCAAACAAGGCCTAAAGCTACTGATGCGAAACTGAGTCTGTTTGACATCAGAGATCAGTTGGTCTGAAATCACTTTTCTGAACTCTCTAGCACACCAGTGAATGGGTACACGTGTGTCCTCGCTACACATGGTCTGCTACATTTCACAATGGGTATGAACGCAATAGGTATGCTTATAATGTAAATAAAAACTACTGTAGGCTTACCAGAGTGAAACAGGATAAGGCAAGAACCCGGTTTTGAATCGCAGATTGTTTTGCTATTGTATGCCATTTGTTCATTCTAAACCAAAATAATCTTTCGTAGTGCAGCTTTAAATACTTCAATATCAATAGATTCTTAAAAATAGTTCCATGGCTTTTAAAGGGGTCATATGACATTGCTGAAAAGAACATTATGTTGTGTATTTGGTGTAATGCAATGTAGGCGTGGTTGACTCTTAACTTTTATAAAGAATATCTCTTTGGATTTGAGACTTTAGTCTTTGCAACTTTACAGATCTTCTTTATGCACCAAGAGCTTGTAACACTCCAAAGAGAAAGGAACAATTTAAATTGCATCATATGACCCCTTTAATAGAGGTGGGCAGTTTGACCAAAATCTTATATCAAGACTAATCTGTAATGATTTACAGATCACAAAATATTTATTTTTGCTTATATAAATGGTTTATATATTAAATAACCATGTGGTATTGCGGTTTTTAAATAAGTACATTTTATGGATGTAAACCAAAAGATTCATCATTATATCATTAGTCATCGACAGTCATTGGCAGTTGGGGCAAATGGTTGATTATGGACCCTAGGTGGGCTCATGGTTCTTCTGTACGACAGATACAATAGAAACACTGTCTTTGCATATAAACACCATGCAGTGGCACACACTCATCTGAAGCCCTGGGACGCACACACCCTTATTTCCCGCCCACAAGACTGAGGCCAGTGGCCCAAAAAGTGTTTGTGTCCACTAGGTGGGCCTCCCAGCAGTCTGTCCCAGCACATGACCCCCAGCTTGGAGGACGTGTGGGTTTTGCGGAACTCCTGCGCTGGTAAGAACCGCTGCACTCCCCTCCTCTGAAACGCTCCTCCCCTGCGCCCCCTACTGGCTGTCACCCCCTCCTGCTGCAGACAGACCCTCTGATTGGCTGGCCTGTCGGACGCCACACAGACCCAGTTGGTGTGTCCGTCTCCAGATGTTAAGCCCCTGTTAGCGTACTGCGAACCCTCTCACTCCCGTAGCAGAATGTACTGTAGGTTGTGTGCTGTCATCTGTAAACCCCATCACCACATGCCTGTGGCTTTGCCCTGCTACCCCCACCCCATCCTGCCTGCTGCTTGAGTAGAAATCCAGCCCCTTGGCACAGTGGGTACAGTGTCCTCACAGCTGTGGGGTGGCACACTGGCATGGCAATGCAGACGGCTGCTGTGATGGCATAATCGCGGTCACATTATGATTGCAATAACTCTCTGGACTAATGCCTCTGTCTCTCTTGCAGCTGGGGACAGGAACAGTGTGGGCAGCACTGGCAGTGTTGGCAGCACCCGCAGTGCAGGCAGTGGCCAGAGCACAGAAAGCAACAGCGCCCCCAACGGACCGCAGCAACACGCCACCAGCCCTGACACGAGCAAGGTAACCATTCACTCAGAGTGCTCTGTTCGGTCACAGGCATGATGCTTTGAAAGATACACAACTTCCAGAGTTCAGCCATACATTTGTCGTTCCAATGGTAACTAAAGTTTTATTGCTAAGGTTTCTTCTGACATTTCATCTTATTTTACACAGGCAACACCTTCGGTTGTGGATTTCCTACAGCCAGATCTTAACAAACATCCAGACACACCCACAGGTAAAAGAGCTGCCTGTGCCGTATTTACTGTGTGCATCTGTATACAGCGATAGTATTTGGACACATAAAATTTATGAACATTACTGCATTAGATAAAATATCAAACCAAGTTCCTCTGATAGGACACCTGTGTGAACTTGAGGATAACTGACTTCAACTTAAAAAATGGCAAAACACCAGCTGATTCAAAGACACTGAAAATACCTTCAAGTGAGTCTTTGTGCATATATAACATGCGTATACATTTTGCTGTTTTGAAGGAGTTCCTCGCAGACCTGTGCTGCCCACACAGAGGGCAGGAGAGCAGGGTTTCTCTCAACAGTTTGTGCGTCCTCAACAGCTGCTGGAGGGCAAGGTCAGAAAACACTATTACAGTTAAGACTAAGGTAGACCTGATAATATTTTGATATGGCAAATTAATTTTGTATTGTAAAAATATAAATCTGTTTTGTACACAGCAGGATGCAAAGTAAAAATCTGATTTTGCCGTAAAATACCTTAAAATGTCTATTAAAATATCCTGCATTCTGTTTGCTACCTGTCATGTCTCATGTCTTTTATCATTGTCAGGATGCTGAGGCCATCTATCAGTGGCTGAGTGAGTTTCAGTTGGAGCAGTACACTGTAAATTTCATCAACGCTGGCTATGATGTACCTACCATCAGCAGAATGACCCCAGAGGTACGTTCAGAGAACCAATGTTTGGTTGCTTTGAAGAGAAGTGCCTCTCATTCTTGTTGCTCCAGCTAGAGTTGATGTCGATGAAGTATTTTGCCATTTTTTCAGGATCTCACGGCTATTGGTGTGACTAAACCAGGTCACCGTAAGAAAATTTCTCTGGAGATTGGCAACCTCAGCATTCCAGAATGGCTCCCAGAGTACATACCAGTAAGTCACTATACGTTATAGTATGCATACACGTGTCTCTATGGTGTTATCTTCAGTTCACTCACAGTTAAAACTCATCTCTTAGCAGGATCTTGGGGAGTGGCTGAGCGCCATAGGAATGCCTCAGTATCATAAGAAACTCTCTGAGAATGGCTATGACTCGATAAACATTGTCCGAGATCTCACATGGGAAGACTTACAGGAGATTGGCATCATCAAACTAGGTGAGTTTAACCTAAACATGGAATTAAAGTACATTGTGGTGGTTGTAGTTTATATATAGGGTTACCAAAGCCAAAGAAAAGCTAGAAATAGCTGGAAATGTAAAAATTGTGTGTTCTTTTTATTGTAACGGATTCCAGCTAGTAAGAGCTGTGCTGGTAAACCTCACTCCCCTGATCTCAAGAGGCGCACTAGCGACTGATGCTAGTGGCTATGGTCTTTAGCGCCCTGTTAGCACACCTGCCTCCCATTCCAGAAATGCCGGCTCCAATCCCACTTGGAGCGGGGTGAGTAGAACCGGAGGGGTTACATTGGTGCCATGACCCGGATGGGAGTGAGGTTTAAGGGGGTGAGTATAACGGACACCAGCTTGTAAGAGCTCTGCAGGTAGAACTCACTCCCCTGATCTCAAGTGGCACACTACAGGCTGAACTCTTTAGCATTCTTGCTAACGCGCCTGACTCCCATGCCGGAAATGCCAGCTTGAATCCCGCTCGGAGCAGGGCGAGTAGAACCAGAGGGGTTACATTACTTGAAAATGTTTGTTGGCTAAATATTGGTCTTGTGTACAACAAAACCTGCTTTCACACTAAAGCAAGCCAAACTAAAGCAAGTGTGATATGTAAGAAAATTATTCTTTTGAATTGGTTCTTTTAAATGAATAGGTTGTACTTGTTCACACTGGTTCGGATGATTCATTATTAGAACCGAATTTGAATGATTGTTTAAAAACCCTTATCCAGTGGTCATTAACAATAGACAAAGCCACGAAAAATTGATGACACATGGGTCAAAAAGTGTGGAAACCCTGTATACACTTCACCCTCCATCCATCTTGTCACATTTATTTATTTAACACTTTATACTGTATGATAGATTTAAAGCAAGCAGCTTTAGTATTTAACATGAAAAAAACTGTGTCAGTGTCGCTTTCAGTTAGAGTTACAACTTGATTTTCTGCTAGGCCATGACCTTGACAAGGACATTTTCATTTTTATTCCTCTGGCGTGATTCTGGGTAGTCCCGCCCACATTTAAATCTGATTTGTCTTAAATACTTTTCCAAATGACTGTATATTCAGCGTCAAATATGGCCTGAGACTGTGTAGGTCACGCAACATTATATGTATGTATGTTTATGTATATATATATATATATATACTGTGAAGTATATCCTGTTGTGTTAAATTCATGTGTGACACGTACAGTAAGTGTTAAGTCGGTGAATATGTGTGTGTCTCTAACAGGTCATCAGAAGAAAATGATGCTTGCAGTGAAGAAGTTGTGTGATATTCATAAGGCTCTTCTGCAGGCAGAATCTGGGCAGGGCACACTGTGGCGCAAAACCCCCGCAGCCCTGGACCTGGTCACTATTGAGCCACCTCCTGAGAGCGGCGACCTCCCCTCACCTCACACGCCCAAGATGATGACTTTCCAGGACAGTGAGCTAAGTACTGAGCTACAGAGCGCCATGTACTCCCACTATCGTGGCTGTCAGGAAGGGCTGGCCATCAAGAACGCAGTAGGAATGTCTTCCAGTCAGGAGAGCATTGACACACGCTCTCGAGGCTCCGGACGCTCTCAGGAGCCCCCCAGCACACCGTCCTCCACTTCTGCTGCGACCCCTTATAGCGGCTCCCGAGAGAGTTTAACCAGCCCAGACAGCAGTCCTGCTAAAGAGCGCAACATTCCAGAAGGCCGTGACCAGGTCCCACGTCCTCAGCTACCACAGCAGCTGCCATTCAGTGCGTCCACAGGCTTTAAATACCCCACGGTGCCTGCCAAACCCAAACTGAGCTCTGCTCCTTCTCCACAAGGCTCTCCTGCTCACAAAACCCTTAATTATCCACGTTCACAATATAACAGTGCCACGCTTGACCGTCACTCTCCTAATGTGACTAAGAAGCGCACACAGAGTCTGTCCCGGTATGCTTTGTCGGATGGTGAACCAGATGAAGAGGATGATGAAGCAGCTCAGCTAGCCAGCATGGCCATGCCTTCGTATGCCACACTGAGCCGCAAGCCTACCCGTGGCCAGCTGGCACGACTTCAGTCTGCCCCCGAGCAGTCCGTCAGCCGAAGCCACTCTTTTGCCATTAGGGCTCGACGTAAAGGGCCTCCTCCACCACCACCCAAACGCCTTAGCTCCGTCAGCAGCAGCAGCAGCACTAGTGTTGAAACTGTTTCTGACACTCCAGCATCACCTTCTGGAGGAGCTGAGAACGGCAGATCCGGGACCGTAAAGAGTATTGCAGCTGCATTAGAAACGGTCCTACCTGTGCCTACGGTGGAGCTCCTTCCGGAAACCACTACAGCTGTTTCCAGTACCAACGAAGGGTTCAGACGCAGACCTCTGAGTCAGAGTGAATCCAGCCCAGTACCCTCCAAAGCAGATACTGATAGAGCGACAAAGTCTGACTCGGAAGAGGAGGATGCAACAAAGGATTCAGGCCTGGAGAGCTCATCCTCGCCGCAGAACAGCTCTAGTGAGTGCATCCCTTTTGCAGAGGAAGGCAACCTCACTATCAAACAGAGGCCCAAAGTTGGCGGGCCTCTCAAGGCGGAGACCACTTCTGAGTTGCCAGAGAAAGCCAAACCAGCCAAAACCCCTGAAGTGCCAGAGTTCAACCTTAAAGAGTCAGACACAGTGAAGAGACGACAAAAGCCAAAAGAGAAAGAGCAGCCAAACCCAGCGTCCGACAGCAGTGCAGAAAGCACGTCAGTTTTAGAGACTCAGGGCACGGTGAAGCTCCGCATCAGTGAAACAGATATGAGTCTGCCATGTGTGGAGCTTCCAACCAAACCAGTGAAAGCACCTCCAACTCTTGCTCCCAAACCTCCCAGTCCCCTGAATCCAACACGGCACGCCTCTAAACCAGATCCTGCTCCTATAACAGGTACAGCCTATAGATACGAATAAAGCTTGTCAGCTTTTTTTTTTTTTGTAGGTTTGACAAATACTGCTCTGATTTATAAATGGTATAATTTGGTAGATTGTCCTTATTACATTAAAGCTAAGAGCAGCAACATTTTGCTAGTAAGTTACAGTATATGCAGAGGACTGAAACTTTTGCATTTATTCGTGATTCTTGTTCTGTCTGCAGCTGTCGGCTCTAGCGTGACACTGAGTGTTGTACAGAGTGTCGCCTTTGCAGGACCTCATTCTCCAATCCCATACTCCCCCTCGCCAGAGAACACGGTTCAGAGTGCAATATCAGGAAGCCTCCAGGCTCTGATGGAAGGGGATCAAGGGTCAACACTGAAACATCAGAGGCTGGAGAAGACCAGCTCATCCCTGGAGGAAGCACTGAAGGCTGTGGAGAGAAAACTAACTCTGGAGAACAACAACGTGGGGTGAGAGACACTCTCCACCAGCTTCCACACTTACAGGAATAAATCTCCAAAAATGATTTTGTTTTTATTGGGGGATTATCAGAATTTTTCCTTTAAATGTCATGGTTTTAAATTGTCACTAATTTATTTACCCACTGTGTCTCTTTTAGCGTTTCTCCCGTAGTGAAGTCTGCAGGGAACATCCTGGATGACATCGGGAACATGTTTGATGACCTGGCTGATCAGCTAGATGCTATGCTGGATTAAAGATTCTCATGGATGGAGCTGTTTATTTTTTTGATGACCCAGAAACAGGAGGGTAGATATCTACGTATAGCAGCATGGTTTCTTATAATTCAGATGGAGAGCAGAGATGAACTCTTTAACACAAAAGTGGGAACCTCCACTGATCTTCATTTATAAGGACCACACAGATATTTATGGACCAGTCTAGATGTCATCTATATTTGTTTGTTTATTGTAATTCCAGCGGCTAATCAATCAGCATATATATTTGTTTTTCTGGTTTTTTTTGTCCTGTCATTGTTTTTTTGGGATGAACTGTGGACTGAACTGTGACCTCAATGAACTTTACATGACGGACCCAGATAAAAGAAATGCACTTAGGAGAATCATTCCTAAAGCAATATAGATTTCAAAACACTACACTGATTCAAAACATTTCAAGAAAGACTAATGGGATAGTTCACCCAAAAAGTGACAATTCTGTCATGATTTACTCACCCTGCCTTGCTGTGAGACTTTTGAATAAACTTTATGCAGCTCTTTTCCATACAGCAATAAGTTATAGTGACCTGCTGTCAAAACAAAATAACACATGATGACAATTTTCGTTTTTTGAGTGAACTGTTCCTTCAACATAACTACTTTTCAAAGCATTTAAGCTCTAAAAAAGTAGCTTGTGACATCCATTTCAGCAGGTAAACAGCCTTTGGGAGGTTTGGTGCTTGTACCCTTTTTTTCTTAATGACTTTGCAGATTTGCAGGTTAAAATACATGACTGACATTTATTTTTGTATGAAAGTGTGGTCTTAAAGGGAACATGATGAAAACAGTAACACTGCCTTAAGTGACTAGAGCAGCATCAATGTACAGCAAGCAATTCAGGTTTAAGTTACCACAAACTAGTCTTTAAACTTAAATTAGTCCAAATAGTATTTAAACTTTATCAGAATATGTATATTGTACACTAAAGGTATATTTGATTGGGAAGCAAACCTGTTTGTTGTACCAAAGTATATGTATATTTTTATTCAAATGTTGGATAATGTTAACACTATCAGACTTGTCTTGCAGCTAAACTAATGAAATTTAACCCAGTGGCATTTCCCCTTTGCACATAATTTGATATGATGTATCTGATGTGGAATATTTCCATGCTGTTCTTGTGTGCCATACGTTTAAATAGATGTTTCATTCAGGTTCTGTCTCCCAAGTAACTGAGATGTAATTAATGGCATTTGTACAACTGAAGGCCGTTTGCTAAAGTAAGGAAACTTTGCTTCCTTTGATCCTGTAAACAAACGTTGGTTTTCACAAGACTCACCGGCGCATGCGGATATTTTTCTTACAAAAACGTATCGATTCGCCACAGAAGGCCTTTGTTCACCCCCCGGAGCCGTCTGAGACATTTTTTATGGATGAGCGATTTTATTTCACTTCTTTTGGACTGATGCATGCAACACACTAGTCTTTAAACTTAAATTAGTCCAAATAGTATTTAAACTTTATCAGAATATGTATATTGTACACTAAAGGTATATTTGATTGGGAAGCAAACCTGTTTGTTGTACCAAAGTATATGTATATTTTTATTCAAATGTTGGATAATGTTAACACTATCAGACTTGTCTTGCAGCTAAACTAATGAAATTTAACCCAGTGGCATTTCCCCTTTGCACATAATTTGATATGATGTATCTGATGTGGAATATTTCCATGCTGTTCTTGTGTGCCATACGTTTAAATAGATGTTTCATTCAGGTTCTGTCTCCCAAGTAACTGAGATGTAATTAATGGCATTTGTACAACTGAAGGCCGTTTAAACATTTAAAGGTTTAGTTCACCCAAAAATGAAAATTAGCCCTTAAATTACTCACCCTCAAGTCATCCTAGGTGTATATGACTTTCTTCTTTTAGACCAGTGTTTCT